GTTTGTTTTGGTTTTATGCTGGAGCTCAAAGGCGACATCTACTGGTTTAAAAAGTTGCATGTTCTTCTTTAAAACTGTTGATCATGACGAGACACACAGCGGAGCAGTTACTTTGAAATACGAATATATCTGAATTTGATGTGTTTTTGGTAATAATACATTTGTGTTCTTGGTGTTCTCCTCTCTGTTTTTATCACAGGTGTCTCACCTGAGCTGCGGTCCAAACACCACGATCCAGCAGATTATCATCCATCACTTTTCTTCAAGGTAAACTGCTCTGTCTGTGTCTCCAGGTAACTTTTTGTATCTTTAAATGTTTCCCTCAGGTTACATCCCATCTGATGTTTATCTTATGAAACATTAGTTTGTCTAACTTAAACTTTCCTAAGCTTAAAAAAAGCTCTTCATGTAAACTAAACTGTTTGACTTTATCATCCAGAGTCAGATTACATTTCTGTGCATGCAGTGAAAGATCAATATGTTTAGACCATCGTATGCTGCATTCATTTAATAATAATAATAATAATAATAATAATAATAAGATCAGGGCAATCTGTATTTTTCACACCTGGGATGTTCATAATTCAAAGAAGACTACAAAACTGCTTGCCTGATATTTCTATGTTTCTAGCTTAAATAGCTTATTATTGATCTGTTGCATATTTCAGCTGGTTAAAGGAGCAATATGTAACTCTGACACCTAGTGTTTAAAATGGGTACTGCAGTCTAAATTCTAAACATTGTAGAGACCCCCCCCCCCCCCCTCTCTAGAGTTGATCCACATACAGGTTGCCATGTGGTGGACACTGTAGCTTCAGTGTTAGCCAGCTCTGCATCGGTCTTTGCTTTTACTCCAAAGGCCTTTATTTGTCAAAACATACAGCTACACCAGGCCAGTAAAAAGGACTGTGCCTTAAATTGGGGTGAGCTTTTATTAGGAGTTTTACGGTAAATCCTTTTTGATACTTATAGACCTTTAACTTCCAGACAACCTGTCTTTGAAGCTCTTCATCTATTTGTCAGCTGTTTCCACCTGAACTAGAGAATAATGACGTTAGAGAAGAACCTACAGCTTCATATTTGGACTCTTTAATAGCTCTTTAAAGAGTGCTGTAGTTGTTGAATCAGGCGGCTTATTTGATGTGACACAACAAAACAAGTCAATCTGGGATCTCTTTTACTCTTCATGATTCCCTTTTCTTCAAACGATCTCTGACTGTGTTCATTTATCCGCAGCTTTGACTGCTTCTGCTTCAGATTTGTGTCTCTGCAAAGCTTTTCTGCTGAGATTAAAACAACTCAGTCTTCATGTTGGGAACATTTCTCATGAATACATTTTGACTTCTGAGCTCATTTCACAAAACTGCATGATTCCCTCACATCCGGAGAAATCGATGATATTGATGAAAGCACAGTTTAAGAAGACTTTTTACTTGGACTCGGATTGTTTTGTTTGCAGAAGAAGACGAGGAATAAGTTGATTTAAAAACTAGAGGCACACACATCTCTCTCTCTCTCTCTCTCCCTCGCTCTCTCTCGCTCTCTCTCTCTCTCTCTCTCTCCATTTATGATCACGATCACGGTGTTTTCAGAGATTTAGTTGTTTACATCAAACTTAGCCCCTCATCACTGTCGCTGTTTCACCTGTGTTACACCTGTCTGCAACCAGACTCCACACAGCCGGACACCTGTAAGAAAAACAGAAACACCCTGTCCTCATAGAATCTCTCATATTACACCTAATGAGGACCCTGCAGCAGCTGTCCAACAGTGAACCCCATCATGTGTTTTTACGGGACAGCGTGGGCGTGCAGATATGGCTCGTACCACCTGGTGTCACTCAGGAGGCCTATTCATCATCTCCATGATTTCGCTGGGCTGTCAGTGTGTGTGCGGCTTGTTGGTGTGACGAATCTGTCTTATGTCACTGTCATGCCTACAGCTGTCAACAAAACTCCCAGGGAGCATTCATTGTGCAAACCTTTAGAAGATGGAAAAGCCCAGGTGGACACATTTGAAGAAAGTAAAAGTGTTTGGTCATAATTTAATCAGAAATGTAATCTGCATCGCCATAATTTTTTATTTACATTATTGTATTTTTTTACATTATTGTATTTTTTCACATTATTGTGTTTTTATTTATTTAAATGATGTAAATATGTTTGATCTGTTTTTAACTTCTATTTTTATTTTTATAAGTATATTCCGTCCCCTGTTTTCTGGAGCTGCTGTAATGCACAAATTTCACCCACGGGAGACCAATAAAGTTTATCTTTATCTCTTTATCTTTATAAATTCCCTCCTTGTGACTGTGAATGTGGTGATAAAAGGCAGCAATGTCAAGAGGGCAGAAAAATCAAGTTTCCATTGAAGTCCCCAAAAGCTGCAGTTCCTCCAGTGTCCACTAGAGTCTGTCTCCTGCAGTGAGTCAGTCCCCATAGAGCCCCATGTTAAAATGTCCAGCAGACCATCCGACAAGTATGAGCTCCACTTTTTACCACCAGTAACATTAGAACTTTATTTAATTTACACATTAGCAACAATTAGCAGCTATCTACTGAACATACTCCAGATGCTAACCGTTAGCTAACAACGGACTGTAGACGCTAGCGGAGTCAGATTTGATTTAAATCCTCTAATATAACTGAACCTCGTCAGTCCACGTTGTTCTTTGGCTTCTAACAACATCTTTATCGTCTTGTCCACCCTCTGACTGTCAACAAATGCACTTTGTCTCAGAGGGGGAGGAGTTATCGGCACGATGTGTGTTTTATGACGATATAGTTACACTCAGTGACCTTCAGTGGGCACCAAAGCTAACCAAACTGAATTCCTTTAGTTGCTTTAAGCTTCAAATTGCTGACACCATAACAGTCCCCCTGTGGTCTAAATGAATCATCTGTGCTGTGCTTTGGTCAAATATAACATGAATCAAGCAGCAGAGGAGGTTTGTGACCTTGTATAAACCAGCTCTCTCAGAACGCTCCGTTTTGGTGTGTGTGTCTCTTTAAATGTAATGAGCCCCCCCTGAGTTTTCCCCGTAGATATCACTCCTCTGTAGCGAGAATAAAAAGGACCTGTGTAAAAGTTTTGCTCTAGGCTGGGGGTGGAGTCTATGGGTGGAGATACCAGGGGAGGGGAGGGAATTTTTTTTTACCAGAATCCCACTGTGACATCACAATGAGAGGAAACATTTGAAACGGATAATTTTTCTCTGTGTTGTAAGACCACAAACAAAGCACTGGATGGGTTTATTTCACATTTTGTGGGTCATTAGACACTCAGGTTACCCAAATATATGTTTACAAACACTGTACAAGTGGATTTTTCAGATATGTCCCCTTTAAAGTCTGTCCTCTGAATTTGAGGGAAAAAAAATAGTGTTGACGGGGATGTTTCTCTGCTGCCTTCATCTGAAGCAGGAAGTGATTTCTGTGGAAATATCTAAGATTGGTGTGTCAGCCTCTCAAACACACGTTGAGTCGTCGCTTGCAGAGCTGTGTGTGCTGATTGTCACCTCAGCGGCAGGCGCAGGTGTGCCCTGCTATTTACATTTGCATAAAGTACATGAAGATTTCAACTTTTCAGCAGCGCTCGCTCGCTCCTCCTGACGAGCATTCAGCCTCCCTGCGCTCTCCAGAAAATAACACAGGATCTTCCCGAGGAGGACATTCATGATTTTGTGTTTTTCTGTGTGAGGTTGTTGTTGTAAATTTGAGGAAATCTCCATATTTACACCCTGGTTGCATTGCTTTCCCTGTTTGCTTTTTGTATTCTGACATGGCTGGCTGACAGTGACATGTCATGCTCAGTTTGAATCAGCTTTATTTTAATCAATGGTCGTGTGCTGTGCAAACTCTTCCTCATGAGTTCATGGTCCCAATATAAGAGACCAGAAAGAGGGTGAGGAGTTAGGGCGGGGCTACCTGTTTTCCAAATATGGTCACATCTGGTTCAACAAAAAAGGAAGAAAGATGGCGGCGACCATTTAGACTAACACGATCTTTGATGCTTCTCACCTCTCATGGCGTCGAATAGTTTTGTATTTATGTTTTTTTTTTCCTGCAGGTTTAAAGCTTTTTCAACGTTAAATCTTTTACTGTCTCTGTTTCTTGAAGGACGGCGGGAGGAGAACGATGGGGGCTGGCGGGGTTTCCCCCCGAGCCCTGCTGTGGCTCAACCTGCTCGCTTCAATCCCTGTGGCGTCGTCCCTCAACCCGGATGACCCCAACGTGTGCAGCCACTGGGAGAGGTCAGTGTCTTTTTCTACGTTATTTTAAGTGAAAAAACCGGCGCTCAAAAACGCTGCAGAGAACTAATGGACTCCCCGCCACAAATCAGCTCTGAGGGTTTTGTCGATAATCAGAAGCTGAAGAGAGGAGGTTTACTCCTGGGGGACGCGCGGGGGCCGTAAATTCAGAGCGATGCTAATGTGACGGCCTGAGTGGTCCCGGCGCTCCGACAGGGAAAGCACGATGTCATCTGTGCTGAGAGTGACGCAGAGTGCAGGTGCTCTGATCGATAATCTCTCAGAGTAATCAGGAGGAAGCGTGGAAATGGATATTACTACCTCTGAGGACTCTTACAGTCCGCGCTCCTCATGAAGGTCGGACTCAGTGCAGTCACATTTATTCAACACGAGAGAACCCCCCCCCTCAGTATGCTAATCAGCACAGAACAACAGAGACTGGAGGATTCAAAGGGAGGTTATGGAAGGATCCTTGAAAGTTTGGACAGAATCGATGGTTTTCAAACATTTCTCAGATTTAAAAAGGAGCATCTGTGTTCTCTGGGGTCGATATGTACCTCCTGATTATTGCTCTGAACAGGAACATTTGATGGCCTGTTAGGAAAAGAAGAACTCTTAGCTCTTTTTAGAATAACGACATCTTGAGTACTTGAGTAAACCCTCAGATTGTACACAGTTTTTTGTATTTCCGTTGCACGTGTCCTGATAACTTGGTGTCGTCTCCTCCGTCCTTGCAGCTACGCAGTGACAGTGCAGGAGTCGTACGCTCATCCATTTGACCAGGTTTACTACACCCGCTGCACCGACATCCTCAACTGGTTCAAATGTACCAGACACAGGTGAGGACGCACACTCTCTCACACACACACACACACACACACACACACACACACACACACACACACACGGTGGTTAAATGTTGTATTTGTCCCGGTTGCACTTATTCTTACTTCCGTTCTACCTTCTGTTGTAGAAAAATTCAAAATAAAAGCACAACAAGAACTATTGTTTTTAAATGCAAAATGATTTAACTTCAAACATGTGGTTTGAAATGTGATTAATCAAGATTAACGACTGCCTCAGGTCACTTCCTGTCAGCACCTCTGATCACTTCCTGTCAGCACCAATGGTCACTTTCTGTCAGTACCTCTGATCACTTCCTGTCAGCACCAATGGTCACTTCCTGTCATTACCACTGGTCACTTCCTGTCAGCATCTCTGGTCACTTCCTGTCAGTACCTCTGTGTCCGATCAGACTTACCGTACAGTTCCGCTGGTTCGATGACGGTTAGCGTCTCAACACCTCCTTTTCATTTCCTATGGAGAAGCAGTCTCTCTCACTCTGATGTTCGCTTTGGAGAAAAGCGTCTGACAGATCTAGATGCAAAACAACCAGAAAGTGACGCCTACATACTTTTAAAAGACACAAAAACAACCAGAAACAGAAATCCATAAAAAGAAACAAAACAGAAGAAAAGTGAGAGAATCAAATCCTCCAAGGAGAATCAGGTTTATAATCCGTCGTGATCCTGGATTATGGAGACATCTGTGTGCTCATGCTGCTGATGTTCTCACCTCTTTGACTTGAAAAGGTCAGAAGTCATCACTGACATCCAGAGGACGCCGTGATACCCGTGTGATCCTCTCTAACACTGGGACGTCTGAGGGAAGTTTTGAAAAACTTTGATTCAAAGTGACCGAACATGACGCCAGCTTGCAGAACAAGTTCCTGGATCCAAATCTAAACGGGGACCGACCGGATCCTGATTTTAAATCCTGAACGAGCTGCAACACAAAATGAAGTGAGCGACATGTTTCCCTCTTAAGAGTCACTTATGACATGTTTACTATACGGAGAGTTAAATAATCAAACTTTAATGGTTAGTTCAGGCCTCAGTGTGGACTGTAAAGTAAAAGTCCTTCATGTCTCAGACCTCGTACTTCCTGCATGTCTGATCCTGATTGTGGATCTCTCACTCAGTCGGTCTCATGTGTCTCCCCTCCGACAGCAGCTCTCCAGCTCGTCCTCGTGTGGTCATTTTGATGAAGAGCGCCCGTTGCCGTATCGTTTTTAATGACCACATTAAGCTTTATAGGCACCCGTTTAGCTCCTCCAGCTAAGAGCCAGGAGCGCAGGCGTCATTGATCTGACGGACACACAACACCAGCGTCCTTGGAGGAGTGAAGAGAACTCCTCTCCATGTTAAAGTGTTTTAAAGAAGTGAAGAGAGGGAAACTCAGCTTTAGCACCTTTTTTAAGGACTTTGTTCTCACAGCGTCGTGATATTTCAACTTTTAATGGATGCAGTTTGAGCTCTTTGAAAGGTGGAAGGCGTGAGGGAGAAATATAAAACTATACATTAAAGGAGAAGTTAGGACGGGGACGTTTAAGTTCAGAGACCTAGTCAAGACCGAGACCAAAGCAGGACGAGACTGAGTCAAGACCAAGGCCAAGGCAGGACGAGATCGAGACGTCCTTCTGGTGGTGTTCTCAGGTGTTCAGCCGTAAAGATTCAGACGACTTCTAAAGCACCAAAATGTGAAGTGTTGATTAAGTCTGAGGGCCGACCGAGTGTGACGCCTGATCCTTTAAAAATATAAACAATGGAAAAGTCAAATGAACAGGGGGTTCAACAGTCGTGTAAAACACATTCATATCCTGCTGAACTGCCTGAAGAGAAGATTTCTCCTTAAATGTTTTAGGTTTTTACCTCAGCATCAGTCCTCACTCTGTGTGTGTGTGTGTCTGTGTATTTCTCTGTGTGTGTGTGTCTGTCTGTGTGTTTCTGTGTGTGTGTTTCATGTGTTGCAGGATCAGCTATAAGACGGCGTACAGACGTGGCGTGAGGACGATGTACCGGCGTCGCTCTCAGTGCTGCCCGGGCTTCTATGAGAGTGGAAACCTGTGTGTCCGTAAGTTCATCCCTCTGGAATCACTTCAAATCAGTGTCGGCGTTACTCGTAGAAAGGAATCCATTACTTTGTGTTTTTACTCACTGCTGACAGTAATCAGTTATCCTGAACTTCACCTGATGCGTTTACGCTGCGGTACGGCTCCATGCTCGCTAACCTGTGGAGGACGGTCGGCCTTATAAAGGTTGTTGTTTGTTCTCAGACGTCTCTTTCTGCAAAATGCAGCTGGATTCACAGCGCAGAGGAACGTCTGCTCTGCAGCAAACACAATCAACAAGCTTGTTGTTATTACTTCTCTGTCCAGGGTACATCCTGGACTGTTCAACAGCCAATCACAGGGCTGACATACAGAGACAGACAACCAGCCACACTCACATTCAGACCTACGGACAATTTAGAGTCAGCAGGTAACCTAACGAGCATGTCTTTGGACTGTGGGAGGAAGCTGGACCCGAAGAGAACCCACACATGCACGAGGAGAACATGCAGACTCTGAACGCAGAGTCAGAATCAGAATCAGAATCAGAATCTGGGTTTATTGCCAAGTACATTTACACATACAAGGAATTTGACTTGGTGTATTGGTGCTAAACAATTAACAAGGAAATAAAGCAGAACTAGCAACAACTTAAATAATACAGTATAAGAAGATATTACAATATATAAAATAGAATTTAAAAATATAAAATATAAAATATAAAATATAAAATATAAAAATAAAAAACATGAAAGTCAGAGTCAGTGAGGATGAAAAATCAGTTAAGGATGATGGACTCTTATGGAGAGCAGCTGACTGCACACTCTCTCTTTTGTCCCTTGTTGCCATTTAAGAGAATAAAACATCTTTTAGATCTCTTAGTATTTGTTAGATCCTCGTTACAAACAGATGAAGTGATGTCATTCGAATTATCCCCCCCCCCCGGTTGTGTGTGATGGATCTGCTCCCTGTAAAAGTTATTATCAGATCAGAAACAGCCGTATTTTCTCATTAAAGTCAAAACTGTGACATCACACAGAGCAGCAAACACTCTGCTCAAGCGGAGACGAGACAGCAGATGTTCTCTGCGAGCTGATGCAACACAAACGTCTGAGTCTCCGTTTCTCTGTAAAGCCAGACTCCAGCTCCTGCTCTGCATTGTTGATGGAAAACACACACGCTGCATCTGCTTCTCGTCTGGATCTGTTGATCTCACCACATCTGATGCAGCTCACAAACTTGCAGAGTAACTCCGTCCTCCACAGACTGCTGCTGCTGGGCGGGGGGGGGACTGCACTAAACTGCAGGTCGAGGTCAAACTATACGACCTTCTTGTCTGTTACTGGGTCGGATTAGGTGATCACAGGGCCGTGAATACTTGACAGGCTACACGGTGGAACCCGACCAATCATCACGACCGACATGACGATGTTGGGAGGAAGAGGGGCGGAGCTAGACTACACCCAGGAGCGGACTGTAAACAAGAACAGACTGATTTCGACAAACCTTTCCTCTGAGTCATAGTTCTTTCTCGCAGCATCGACTTCATCATTCTTCTTTTTTGTCACAATTTTGTTTGTTAAAGCTCGTAACCACTGTCATCGCAATGAAGACGTTTTAAAGTAATACGAAGCAGCGTTAGCCGCTAGCATTAGCACCGAGTCAAAGGCGAGTACCGTAGCGTTGACTTGACAGGCATTTGAAAAGTGCAGAAAGTTTGCAAGAGAGCTCAGAGGCTATAGCAGCTGAAATGAAGGTCTGACCTGTTTATTTAGATAATGTAGCTCTGCATGGAGACAAACTGTGTTTATTGTTGCGTCTGCAAACTAAGACTTATGTTTCCAGTAATGAATGGGTGAGAGATTACTTGAATTGCAGCACTAACCAGTAATGTTCACCTTCAACGCTGTGACACCTGAAAGGCCAAACTCAGGGCTTCAAAACGGACATGAAAGTGGCTCCATCTATTTTGTGTCTGTGCACTCTGCTCTGTGAAACGAGATGCTGGGTGTGTATGTTTTAGTCCCGCCTTTTATATCCACACAGCAGCCGTGCAGCAGGCACTCAAACCGTCGCTGTCTCCGAGTCCTTTTTTCTTTTTTCTATCAAACGCGTCCTTGCAGGTACCATGGAGGAATGAAGGTCGTTAAAATTGTATGCTCTCGGATTAATAAAGCATGCACACACTCGACTAATTCATCCTCTCAGAGGACTTCATAAACAGAAGCAAGGCGGAACAGCAGTTAGAATCAAGCTTACGGATCAGAGGTGTCGGGGGAAACTTAAACAGAACAACATTAGACGGGTGTGTGATTATAGAATCGATATTTTTGATGCCTCTTTTTATTTTGCCTTCTTCCTGTTTGTATGAAAAATCTTTACATCACTCAATAAAGAGCTCAGAGTGAGTCCGACGAAAGGGCGCTCAGGAAGTGACCTGGTCCCTCTGCAGCCATCAAACCAACTTCCATACTTTGGTCTGCAGCAGGACTTGAATCTTGACCCTCCCGGTTCCAAACCTAAGGCCTTACAGACTAAGCTAAGCTTCTGCCGCCCCCAAATTACACTTTATGTTTAACGTGTTTCCCTCGCCTCGTAAAGTTTTAAACTGGTCAACACAAACCTGTCTGAGAATCAGAGTCTGAGAACGGCGCCCTGCGAGTCTCCGTCTCAGCTGTGTGCTCACCTCTTCTGTCATCCTGTAAGAGAAATCAATTATCCAGCCTAGATGGTAAACTGTATAGAGCCGTGTTTTCTTTTCTTAAAGAGAGAGGGAGTGAATGGGTCTGCCTGGAGGGGGGAGGGGGGAGGGGGGGGGGGGGGAAGAGGAGCGCATTGTGTGTCTTTATTCAACATCTGCTTGTAAACAACTTTATTAGATTCTCTCAAGGGAGCGAGACAAATACCCCTCCACTCTATTGTGTGATGCTACACACACACACACACACACACACACACACACACACACACACACACACACACACACACACACACACACACACACACACACACACACACACACACACCGCCGGAAGCTAATCCTTCAATGTTAACCAGGAGGAGACGCCCGCCTGCTCAGGCTAACGCTAACGTCCTGGGACAGCTCTTTTGTACACTGCTCGAGCTAATTGCAAGGTTTCCCTCAACGACACAGAAAGAGGAGGACGAGGAGGAGACGAGTGGAGGATGAAGAAGGAGATGAGGAAAGGAGATGATAGGAGGAGAAGAGGAGAGGAGAGGATGAAGAAGGAGATGAGAGGAGGAGAAGAGGGGAGGAGATGAGGGGAGAGAAGAGGGGAGGATGAAGAAGGAGATGAGAGGAGGAAAAGAGGGGAGGATGAAGAAGGAGATGAGGAAAGGAGATGATAGGAGGAGAAGAGGAGAGGAGAGGATGAAGAAGGAGAAGAGGGGAGGAGAAGAGGGGAGGATGAAGAAGGAGATGAGAGGAGGAGAAGAGGGGAGGATGAAGAAGGAGATGAGAGGAGGAGAAGAGGGGAGGATGAAGAAGGAGAAGAGGGAAGGAGATGAGAGGAGGAGAAGAGGAGAGGATGAAGAAGGAGATGAGGGACGGAGAACAGGGGAGGACGGGGAGGAGAAGAGGGGGGATGAAGAAGGAGATGAGGGAAGGACATGAGGGGATGAGAAGAGGGGGGATGGGGGGAGAAGAGGGGAAGATGAAGAAGGAGATGAGGGAAGGAGATGAGGGGAGGAGAAGAGGGGAGGAGACGAGGGGAGAGGAAGGAGAGAGGGGTCTGCTCATTTGATTACAGGGCTTCTTCTCTCTGAGTCTCCTGCTCTGTTTTCATTTCCTGTTTGTCTGTAATTCCCCGATGAACCAGTGCTTATCTTTTTGACTTCAGGATTCCTTAAATTGATGAAATATTTGATATTTTGCTTATTTTTCATCTCTGCCTGACGTCATTTGACTTCCTGTCGCTGTGAGTCATCCCTCACTCCCTCTCCTCACTCACTTCTTCTCTCCTTGAGCTCAGAAGCTGTTTCCTCTTGTAACAGTTGAAAAGGTTGAATATACCTTTAAGACCCTCTGTGATGAGGGCGCCGGTAGCCTAGTGGTTGGTGCACGCGCCCCATGTATGGGGGTCCTGGTTCAAATCTGACCTGTGGCTCCTTTCATGCCATTCCCCACTCTCATTGAGAGGTGTGTGTGAGGACATTTTTACTCACAGGAGGTGTGAGGTGTGTGTGGTCCTTTCACTGATTATCATGCTCCTCCTCCCCCTTCCTCCTCTCTCCTCTTCTTCACTCCTTCCTCCTCTCTCCTCTTCTTCACTCCTCCCTCCTCACCCTTCCTCCTCTCTCCTCTTCTTCACTCCTCCCTCTTCATCCTGCCTCCTCCTCCTCACCCTTCCTCCTCTCTCCTCTCTCACTCCTCCCTCTTCATCCTGACTCCTCCTCCTCACTCCTCTCTCCTCCTCTTCACTCCTCCTCACTCCTCCTCACTCCTCTCTCCTCCTCCTCACTCCTCCTCACTTCTCCTCCTCACTCCTCCTCACTCCTCCTCTCTGCTCTCTCCCCCTCTTCAATCTTTATGCCTCCTCCTCTCTCCCCTTCCTCCTGACTCCTCCTCCTCACCCTTCCTCCTCTCTCCTCTCTCCTCTTCTTCACTCCTCCCTCCTCCTCACTCCTCCTCCTCACTCCTCTCTCCTCTTCTTCACTCCTCCTCACCCTTCCTCCTCTCTCCTCTTCTTCACTTCTCCCTCTTCATTCTGACTCCTCCTCCTCACCCTTCCTCCTCTCTCCTCTTCTTCACTCCTCCCTCCTCACCCTTCCTCCTCTCTCCTCTTCTTCACTCCTCCCTCCTCACCCTTCCTCCTCTCTCCTCTTCTTCACTCCTCCCTCTTCATCCTGACTCCTCCTCCTCACTCCTCTCTCCTCCTCTTCACTCCTCCTCACTCCTCCTCACTCCTCTTCCTAATTTCTCCTCCTCACTCCTCCTCACTTCTCCTCCTCACTCCTCCTGACTCCTCCTCTCTGCTCTCTCCCCCTCTTCACTCTTTATGCC